AAAAAAAATATAGAAGAACAAAAAGACAATCACGTGACAATCACTTTCTTTTTTTGATTGACAGGTGTCAATCATGACGTCAATGACAGGAACCACTCGGAGAGCAGACTCGTTTTGAGGAACCAATGAGAGGAAGCCACGTCAAAATGACGTCAAAGAAATGGGGTATATAACAGTGTGCACAACCTCATTTTCATCACTTTTTCAAGATGGAGGCAATCCTTCAAAACTTGTTGTTGGTCTGCTCTATATAAGTCAACGTCAAGCTCCGCAAACTTCAAATCGTCGAGGATTTCATACAGGCCTTGCTCACCAAAATGAAAAGATCGTGGGGCAACGAAGATGATGATGATGAGCTTCTAGCTAAAGCAATGGAGGAGTGGGAGAGAAAAGGACAACTGGGAGGTGCTGCCAGAAAGCCATTGTTCGAGTTTGACATGACTATAGTTGGTCCTCGAAAAAATTGGAAAAATGTGGTGAACCAAACGCAGTTTAGTGCCAAACTTAGACAATTACGTGATCCAGATGGAGACGATATAGGTAGTGCCATAACAGAAGCATTGTATAATGCAATCGAGAGAGAATTACGCAGAGAGGACAGACATCCCAATGATTGGGTAAATTTCAACATTACTGCGCACGGATTCGCACACGCGTATCAAAGCATCAATTTTACGGTGGGTGAATTTTTAAACAAGACACTACGTTTGAATGAACTTTTGGAACAGTTGGCGGGAAAGTTAAATAGTAATGAGTCCTTTCAGCAAAATCAGTCATTTGAAGTCGATGTGGTATTTGTCAAGACACCACAACCCGGTCGTGGCAGAAAAAACAGAAACCCGGGCCAAAGATGCCTAGATAATGAAAATAAACGTAAACGATGCATCATTCCTATAAAAAATAGGGATGATCTATGCTGTCCCCGAGCCATCGCGACCATGATTGCTCATTGCAGACGAGAGGAGTCCAATGATGCCTCATTTCATTGGCGCTACATGAAAGAGGGAAAGGCTGTTCAAGAACATGCCGCCCGTGAACTTTGCGAACTAGCGGGTGTCAAGCCAGGACCGTGTGGATTGGAGGAATTGCAAAAATTCCAAGAGTATTTGCAACCAGAGTATCAACTGTTAGTCATGTGTCGCACGAAACCCTTTTTTTTAATTTTTAAGGGTCCTCCTGCCCCTCACGAGATCAAGATTATCAAGTCCGATGATCATTACGATGGATGTACATCGTTTTCTGCTTTTGTTAATCGATCTTATTGGTGCTCGCTATGCGAGCGCGGATTTAACATAAATGACGCTAAACATCATCCGTGTGACGGAACATCGTGTCATTCGTGCAACCGAACAGATTGTCCCAATTACAAACGGAATGGACATCCTACCTTGATCTGTGATTGGTGCCATTGTCGATTTTATGGACCAAATTGTTTTCAACATCACCTCACAACGAAGCAATGTCAGTCACATAAGACTTGTCTGAAATGTTTTGCCGAATATAATGTGATAAAAGGCAAGCGTCATCGGTGTGGATTTGCGTCCTGCCCTTCATGCAGGCAGGTAGTGGACATTAGAACCCACAAATGTTTCATACAGCCTCACGTGGAGAAAGAATCTCAACCCGAAATGGATGAAGAGGGGAACGAAAAACAACCACTACCTCCACCCCTGTTCGTGTGGGCCGATATAGAGGCCATGCAGTTAGCCGACAGGCAGTTTGAACCCAACATGTTGTGCTACAGGACCAGTGAAAGCGAGAACATTGTCACCCGCAAAGGCAAGGACTGTGTGAAAACGTTTTTACACGATTTGGACGATTTGACGGACATACCAAATGATGACCGTGATAGGCAGGTTATTGTCATATTCCATAACCTAAAGGGCTTTGACGGTGTATTTCTTATCAACGAACTGTACAAGCAAAAACGTACCGTCGAAAATCAGCTAACCATAGGATCGAAAGTCTTAGCCTTTGAGAGCGGGAGCCTCAAGTTTAAGGACTCCTTGTGTTTCATACCATTTCCGCTAGCGGCCTTTCCACAAACTTTTAACTTGAATGAGTTAAAGAAAGGATTTTTCCCTCATCAATTTAACCTACCCCACCACCAAGAGTATGTGGGTCGAATTCCTGACATCGAGTTTTTTGACCCCGATGGAATGTCAGAAAAGAAAAAGAAAGAATTGGAAGAGTGGCACGCAAAGCAAATACGACGCAATGTTCATTATGATTTTCAACAAGAAATGGAGGACTATTGTAAGAGTGATGTGGTCCTCCTGCAAGCAGGATGTGATGTGTTTTCAAAACAATTTAAGAGTCACGCAGGTTTCGATCCATTTGAAAAATGTGTTACCATTGCTTCTGCTTGCCATTTGTATTGGCGAAAACATTGCCTTGAAGAAGATACAATTGCGGTAGAACCTCTGAAAGGGTGGAGGGGCAGCAAAGTAAACCAATCTGTAAAGGCCTTACAGTGGCTTATGTACGAAGAAAACCGTATCCCCAAGAAAGATGCCAGTGCAGATCAGATTAAACATGTGAAAAATGGAGGGGAACAGTGTGTGACGACGTCCACAGATTCTTACTTTGTAGACGGTTTCAATCCTGAAACCAACACAGTGTTCGAGTTTAACGGATGCTTTTGGCATGGTTGCCCAACTTGTCATAGCAACAATCGTCACTGTAAGCATGCGGTAAATGCAGACCGTACCATGGAAGAGTTGTACAGAGCGACTCAAGCTAAGGAAGAAGCACTCAGAACAGCAGGCTATCATGTTAAAGTAATGTGGGAGTGCAAGTGGGACGATTTATGCAAGACCAATCCTTTTGTCAAGAACTTCATATCCACGCTGTCATTGGTCAAACCTCTTGAACCGAGAGATGCATTTTTTGGTGGGAGGACTGGGGCGGTGGCCCTACATGCCGTAGCAGGGGAGGGGGAGGAAATACGTTATGTAGATGTAACCTCCCTCTACCCCTGGGTAAACAAGAATTGTGTTTACCCAATAGGACATCCCTCCATCTTCACCAACCCACGCAATCAAGACATCAACAACTATTTTGGACTGGCGACGGTAGATGTTCTTCCTCCGGCTGGTCTATTCCACCCAGTCCTGCCCGTACGCAGTGGGAATAAACTCACGTTCCCTCTATGCACCGCCTGTGTGAAGATTGAGCAAATGAATCCTATGCTGTTGAGAAGTAGTACTTGCTGTCACACGCCCGAAGAACGCACCTTAAGAGGGACATGGGCTACGCCTGAACTACATAAAGCCGTGGAAAAGGGCTACAAAGTAATAAAAATATTTGAAGTGTGGCATTTTGGACCAAAGCAGAGACGAAAGGGACTATTCCAAAATTATGTAAACACGTTTCTCAAATTGAAACAAGAAGCCAGCGGTTGGCCTGCGGAAGTGGGAGATGACCCTGAAAAACGTCAAGATTACATTGCGAATTATCTCCGACATGAGAACATTCAATTAGACCCTGAGAAGATTGAAAAGAATCCCGGCAAACGAGCTACAGCGAAATTGATGCTGAATTCATTTTGGGGCAAGTTTGGGGAAAGGCAAAATAAGCCAAAGACCGTGACGATCACGCAACCGTCCCAGCTGTACCCCTATTTGTTCTTGTCCAATTTTTCATTGCACAATCTGCGCATCTGCACTGAAGACGTACTTGAAGCAGTAATTACTGAAGTCAAAGACAATGTCGTGCCTAGTGTGAAGACTAACATTTTCATCGCTTGCTTAACGACTGCTTGGGCCAGACTACGTTTGTACGAAGCCTTGGACGTACTAAAAGAACAGGTGTTGTATTACGACACAGATTCTGTAATTTATAGGTGGAAACCCAATGGGCCGGAATTACCCTTGGGACAATACTTGGGACAATTCACAAATGAAATGGACCAGCCCAATGATTACATCACGGAGTTTGTTAGCGGAGGAGCTAAAAACTACGCGTACAGAACAATTCAAGGTAAAACCGAATGCAAAGTCAGAGGATTCACCCTTAATGTGAGAGGGAAAGAGATTCTTAATTTCGAGACAATGAGAAAAAACATTCTAAGCGAACTTAACGACCCACAGCAACAAAGGCGTGTTATAAACGTATCGAATCCCAACCATTTTAAAAGAGACACGGTGCAAAAGTCCATAAAGCTAATGCATCAAGTAAAGCAATATGGTCTTGTTTTCGACAAGCGCGTCATCGACAAAGACACAAAAATGAGCTACCCCTTTGGGTACAGAGTGTTAACAGAACCCGATCGAGAAAATGTGAACAATTTATAA